CTAATGTGAATAATGCCACAATGGAGATGGAATTGCAGGTGTTCTTAGGACACACTGACTCCATTTCCTTTGGCTAAATATCCAGGAGTAACACGGCTGGATCATATGATAGTTCCATTTTTCACATTCTGAGGAACTTTATGCTTTTTTCCATAGTAGCTGTACTAATTCACATCCCCACCAACAAAGTACAAGGCATCCCTTTTCTCCACATCCTCATCAACATTTCTCTTCTATTTTTATCTTTTTTTTTTTTTGAGACAAGCTCTTGCAATGTAGTTCAGGCTGATCTTGAACTCACTATGTAGCCCAGGATGGCATTGAACTCACAGGGATCCTCTTTTTTCTGCCTTCTGAGTGCTGAGATTACAGATGTGCACCACCATGCTGGGATATCAGCTATCTTTTTGACAATAACCATTCTTTTTTTTTTTTTGGTCCGGGGATCGAACGTGGGTCCTTGCACTTGTGGGGCAGGCAGTAGAACCACTGAACTAAATCCATCCCTGGCCCACAATAGCCATTCTTATAGGTGAGAGGTGATGCTCCACTGTGGTGAGGCAAGATGTGGAATCAACCTAAGTGTCTGTCAATGGACCAATGAAAGAATAAAGAAAAAGTGACCTAAACCAGGCACAGAAAAACAAATACTGCATGATCTCATGAGTATATGTGAGATATAAGAGAGTGGAATTCATAAAATAGAGCAGAATGTGGTTACCAGAGGCTGAGGAAGAGCACTGGGAAATGTGGATCAAAGGATATCCCCATAATGCCAGCTATTCAGGAGGGTGAGGCAGGAGAATTCCAAGTTTGAGGCCAGCCTGGGCAACTTAGCAAGGCCCTGCCTCCAAATAAAATACAATGAAATAAAGGACTGAGGGTGTAGCTCAATGGCAGTGTGCTTGCCTACCATCCACGAGGCCCTGGGTTCAATCTGTAGTACCACAAAAGGAAAAAAAGGATATAAAATTTCAGTTAGGAGAAGTTCGTGATGACTATCCTTAATTATAGTGTATTGTACTCTTGAAAATTGCTGACGAAGTAGATTTTAAATGTTCTCATTACAAAAAATGACAGGTATGTGAGGTGATATGTATGTGAACTAGTTCAAGTTAATGATTCCACAATTTGTACATAGTTGTTTTTTAAATTTTAAAAAGATTAAGGAAACTCTAACAGAATATTTGGTAATGTTAAGGAGTGACTGGTAACACACATTTTAGCATGATAACGTTTTAAGGGTCTTTATTCTTTAGAGGAGTATCTTTGAAATATTTATGGATGAAACAACACGAAGCCTGGAATTTGCTTCAAAGTAATCTGGTGAGAGGGAAGGGAAGGAGGTAGATGGGACACAGAGTCTGGCCAGGAGCTGACTGTCAGAGAGGCTGGTGTTAGGTCCAGGTAGCAAATGATGCTACTCACTCTTCTCAAGGCAGATGAACACCACGCTTTCATTCATGAGATGACACACAGGCTTACAAACAGTTTGGTGATCACTTTAAAATTAAATTTGAATTTCTTATTGATCTGCTTTACATCATACACCCTGCTATTTCACAAGTGGCTATAAAAAGTAGACAAATTAATCCACCAATACTAAATTACCTTGACTTTGAGGCAATGTTGGGTCAAAGAAAATGTCCCTGTCAGTACTTTGTCACTTGTGTCTCTTTGATGAAACCTAGTGATTTTATTTATGCTATTTCTTGGAGCCTCCACTCTCTCCCCTGTTCAAATGAGACAGAGTGAATGTGACTAGGTGCACAGAGCACTTGGCCCAGGGCCTGACCCTTAGCAAACTGTAATTTTTTTTTGGTACCGGGGATTGAACTCGGGTCCTTGCGCTTGTGCAGCAGGTGGCAAAACCACTGAGCTAAATCCCTGGCCCACAAACTGTAATTATTAATATTACCTGGGGAAGAAGTAGAGAAGATGGTCTTATTCAGTGTTACTGAATGGTACCTGGGACGTGTATAGAAAGCCTCCCACGATGAAACAATGAATGAATGAAACACAATGAATAAGTAACAGATAACCCTATGGGAGTCGTCCGTTCATTTATTTGCTCAACTGACATTTTCAAGAACTTTCTAGGAGCCATGGGCAATGTGAGGCACAGGTGAGTACAGCCCACCTCCCTCCTGGGGCTTACAATGTGGGAAGCACAGGCAGATGGAGACAGGGAAGACAGGAGGCAAGATTTTGAGGCACGTCCAAGGACATGTTCAGGAGGCCATTTGTTGTTGTTGTTGTTGTTGTTGTTGTTGTTCTTTAGGAGGCCATTTGAAAGATGCAGAAGTAGTCAGGGTGGTTTGGGGGCAAAGGGGAGGAGAGCAGGGAGAGAAAAAGAACAAAGCTGTTTGGAGCTGCTAAGGAAAGGGCACATGCAAGGACCCTGGGGACAGGAAGGAATCATGTCAGGGTGCCGACTTGCCATTCAAAGACCAAGACAAATAAAGATGGAGCTGGGAGCAGCCATGGTGGGGAGGGGTTTCCTTTCATTTTTACTTCATATACTTCTGAACTGGGTAAATATTTTATGAGAAGAAAAAAACCCAAAAAACCCTCAAGACATAAAGAAAATACATGGCATTTTCTCTACTCCTTTTCTGTCAAGAATTCAAGGGGCCGGGGATTTAGCTCAGTGGTTCTGCCACCTGCCCCACAAGCACAAGGACCCGAGTTCAATCCTTGATACCAAAAAAAGAAAAGAAAAGAAAAGAAAAGAAAAAGAGCTAAGAATCCATAATATTTTAAAACTTGCTTACGTCTTCAAAAGAAACTACCTTGTTTATGTGTGACAGGTAGGCTTGAGGGTATAGCTCAGCGGCAGAGTGCTTGCTTAGCATGTGTGAGGCCCTGGGCTCCATCCCCAGTTCCACTAAATAAGTAAAAATTGTTTTGAAAATGTACCAGGTATGACAATCTCTTCTGGTGCCTCCCTCCCTGCCTAGCTCTTTTCCCTTTGTGGTATCTTAGAGGCAGAACCCACAACTACGGCTAATTTAAACATTTCCCACCACATGGAAGTTCTAGCCCTCAGACAGATTTGGGGGGAGCACTGATTGAGGCTGGAGGAAAGACCCCGCAGGGGAGTTTGGGGAGATGCTTAGCTGGCCTGCCGGATGGAAGGACTCAGTAGCAGGGCCTGCAGGTAGGCATCTTCCAGGGTCATTTGCAGTGGGTTGCTAGGGGCCCATGTGCCTTTCTGGGTCCATCTTGTCCAGGGCCGGAGTGCTGACTTCCTTTGATGTGGAGGTGGGGCCAACAGCTGCCTGGGTGCAGGCAAGGAACTCACAGAATACTTGGGGAGAGAGGCAGCTGCAGCTGCTGGAAGGACCTGGTTGCTAACCCTTCACTTTGGCCTATGACAGTGGGAAGCCCAGTGAGGCCCTTTCAAGTTGCACCTTGCAGTGTTGGCTGCTGGAAAGGCAGGTTTAGTGTGACCCCACCCAGCCGGAGGCCTTTCATGGAGTGACCGAGCCAGGAGGAGAGGCTGCTTCTGGTTGGGCCAGTGCTAAGTGATACGGATGGGTCTGTCCCCGGAAGGAGGCCACACATGGCTCTAGTCCAGGACAGTCACAGGACAGCCGTGCCTCTGCCAAAAGCCTCAATGATGTCATTGACTCACCTTGGTCCTTGAGGGCCTTCTGTTGGCATGTTCCTCACTAGGGGTGATGCATGGAAGCCCACCTCCCACAATGCCTTCATCTGAGAGAGAAGAAAACTGAGACCAAACAGGAATTCTACTTCCAAAAGAGCTCCAAAACATGACCCTCTGCTCCTAGTCAGACCCCGGGAGGTGCCTCCCATCCTAAGGGTTAAGAGCATGAAAGTGAAGTCAAGGCTTTGTCACTTCCTGGAGGTGCAACCTTGCACAGATAACTCAACTTCTCCAAGTCTCAGTTTCTCCATCTGTGAAATGGGGATAATAATCGTTACCTCGCAGGGCTGTTAAGTGTACTTTTCACCCTGCTAACTTCATTAAGTGTTCCCTGTTTAGTACCCCCTTCCTCTCCTTGTTCACTGCCCAGCCTTCAGAGCTAGTGCTGGACAGCTCAGGGTAGGCACTGAGAAGTAACCAGGAACTGAAGGAGTAGAACTGTTCTCTGGAGCAGGTGTGTGGTCAGGTGACTCCGTCCTGGACCCAGGCCTTGGAGCCATGTTGCTCTGGGGTTTCACCCGACTTCCTCTTGGTCAAGGACATAGCTCTGGGTCAAGACTTCATTCCTGGGCTTCAGAATTCCTACCCTCAGCTCTAGGAGGCTGGGAGAGGAGGGTGGGAAGCAGCTCAGCATGTCTGGAAGGGGAGGCCAGGTGCACTGGTAGGGTTGCTGGGCAAAATACGGATGCCTGGCTAAGTTTGAACTTGAGTTACACCATGAAATAACTTCAGTAAAAGTATGTACTAAGGATTACATGGGAAGTAGGTTCCCTTTAAAAAAAGGATTCATTATCTGAAATTCAAATTTACATGGGTGACTTGGGTTTTAACTTGGGAAATCTGATGGAGCCGCAGGGTGACAAAGTTGGGGTTTTAACCCGGGCCTGCTTGACCAGGGCAAACTTCTCTCATCAGTTAAGGGAAAAAGAAGAGAGGCTGAGTGAAAGGGCTTCATAAGCCCTCAGTTCTTACACAAATACTAATAAGAGCTGGAATTGTGTTTGCCCGGATCAGGGCTAAACCCAGTACCGAGAACTCTATCAGGCACATAGCAAGATCGTCATAATTATTTGTTGCCTCAGCACTGAGCTACATGCCCAGCCCCAGAATTGTTTTATGAAAAATTGTTCATATTACTTTCTCTAAATAGTCTTCACAAAATAATGAGGAAATCTGAGCTCATATTCCCAACATTTGCCAGACCTGAGCCCAGGTGAGCACACACCCCTTGGCTTCGCAGGAAGAGCACACCTGAAAGAACGCTGCACGCCACTTGGTGCTATGCGCATGCGTTGCTCAGCCACGGCAGGCGATGCAATGTGCGCATGCGCAGGGCACTGCGCAGCCGGAAGTCGCGGGATAGGTTTGTGCTACCTCAAGGGAGCTTCTGGCCACTCTGCCCTCATGGCGTTTGCACCCATGGGTCCGGAGGCCTCGTTCTTTGAGGTCCTCGACCGACATAGAGCTTCCCTGTTGGCCGCCCTGAGTAAAGGCAGTCCAGAGCCCCCTGTCCAAGGGACTCGCACGGCCTCTAGGTACAAGAGCCGCCGCCGCCACCGCAGGGCTTTGGGGAAGGAGAAAGTGCCCTTGCCGAGGAGGGCGCCTCTGACCGCCGGAAAAGGCCCTTCCTAGAGCTCCTGGCCTCCTCCCCGCTTTTAACCTGGTTTTGAATTCATGAAGTCTGGCGACAGCGCCCTGCCATCTTCTACAGTATTCCCCTTCTAAAGCTTCCAGGAGCTTCGCAGGCTCCTCTGAGGCTCTTGCAAGTCAGGGAGTTGGGAGACAGTTTGGATTTGGATTTGTGTTTTGTTTTCGGTACCGGGAATCGAACTCAGGACCTTGAGCTTGCCAGGCAGGCGCAGCGCCGCTGAGCTATATCTCCGGCCCTGTATTTGGTTTTGCTTTTTAATTTTTTTACAAAATAAATATTTAACTTTAAAAGCTTTCAAAGCTTTTTGTGGGGGGGGGGGAGGAAAGTGAGAAAATGAATCCTATGAGTTTACACTTAGTGAGCTAATGGTTTTCTCAAAATTAACAAGGACACCAGCACATTTTAGGTGGTTTGTAATAATGCTTTTCTTGACTTGCAGACAATGCCCATATTTAAAATGAGTTATTTAAAATCAGCTACAGAGACTACAGCTCTCAAATTTGGAATTAACTACAGAAAATATATTGACATGATTGGCTTGTTATTCAAAATTCTCTTGTTTTGCAGTGTTGATCTATTTTTCTTGTTTATTGATGAGTTACCATTTATTTTTAAGCCTCAACCAACTACTAAAAATCCCATAAGCAAACAAATTTTTACAAAAGGATTTAGTTTGAAGGAGAATTTAGAAGGATGAGAAAGAAAGGAGTAAGAACTTTCTTATCTACACTACCCATGTAAATTAATCTGATTATATGTTGGTTATGGTATTGTCCTGCAACTTCCTTTTCCAGACTAGGGGAGGAAAAAAATGAAATATATGGGTCAGTTCCTCTCTCAATATTAGAAAATGTTAAATGTTTGAAAATTCATTTTCTGATACACAAATTTTCATTTTCTGATATGCAAGTTTCAACTAAAAACTGTGAAGTTGTTATGGAAATTAAAACATTTTGCCTGTTTTCTAGATTTCATTTGATTTCCCTTTCTAACAATATGCTATTGGTAACAGAACTTTTTTTTTAACTGATGGCTTGCGAAATTGAAAGTCCGCTGCCATAAAACTGGGCTCAGTTTTAATATTTTGCTGTAAAGTGGCGTAAGAGTTGCCACGTCAACCATTTAGTGGAGAACTCATGATTTGTTATTTTCATGGTAGTGATTAAACTTTTTTCCATTTTGAATCACTAAAATTCAGAAAGGCTGATTTTAAGGCATGAGATCAATTAGGGCAATGTGCTACAATAAAGTTTTTCTTTTGAAATATTTTTGGCATTGCATTTTTGGGAAAGAAATTGAAAACCAATATTGCATCATTTTTAATTAAAACATTTATCAGTAGCTTTTCGAGCCAATAAGTTTATATTTAAGTTGAGTTTAGAGTAAAGGAAGTTAGTATGAGGAGCAAACATTTGTAAGTTATATTATCTAGTCATTAATATAAAAGGGAGCCATTACTTCAATTGGTAACTTAACAAAGTTACAAGCAAATACAATTTCTTTGTTATTAACCATTCTAAACACCAATGGTTTAATGCAGGGCTGATGTTAAGATTTAGTGGAAGAGATTATTACTGGCATGAGTCTCTAAGTCTTAAAACACAACCCATGAAATAAAAGTTGTTTTTATATTGATGTGGGGAAATGTTACATATTACAAAGGCATACTTTGTAATTAAAGGTGAATCATGGTGTGTTTATTGTTTCAGTTCTGAGGTTCTTGCATCTATAGAAAATATCATTCAAGACGTTGTCACAACCTTGGCAAGAAATGAGGCACCTGCCTTCATCATAGACAACAGATCAAGCTGGGAAAATATAAAGTGGGCATTTTGCATTTTTATTTTTAAATGCAGTACCTATCTCATTATTCCAATTTACTTGAGTTAGAATACTTTTTAGATTCCATTGTTTTTATTGTCTTTACTCCCCCCCAAAAAGATTTAGGATGTTTATAAAATACACATAAGGAAAGTTGTATAGATAGATGTAGGTTTGAAAGACACAGCAAAGAAAAAAGCTAGCAACAAAAACAAAAACAACAAAATTGAGCACTTTTAAGAGGTCAGAATTGTGTATGCTCTTGCTGAAGGTAGATTCCAAGCATGACTCTAAGCCTCCAGCCCTTGGAGTGGCAGATGCCTTGGGTACAATTCTCATCTACACTCCAAAGAAAGCCTGCATGCTCAGGACATCCAGTCCTGAAAGCCAGGCTGAAGTAAAAGGACCTTGAACACAGGGCTCACTGACAGGACTCCCTGATCTACACTTGCTTAGCTCAACAGTTTTGTCCAAACTCTCCAGGCTAGTGGTACAGTTGTTTTACTCCCCAACCCCAGCCTGCAAAAGCTTCTCTACTGAATAATGAAAAATAGTACTAGAATAGTTCTTATACTTTGGAGACAGAATAAAAGGAATTTGGAGACCCTTTAGTCACTCAAGACAGTTTTACGATCAATATAATTAATACAAACTGTGCACTTTTGAATCATATTTTGCAAGATGGATTTTATCTAACTTGAAGCAGCTGCTATCTAGCATCTTTGCCTCATACCTTCTGCTACCTTTAGGAGAGGGCTGGCGGTTCATTTTAACAACCTAATATAAATTGTTACTTTATGTAATGTTTCTTTGTCAATGAATTAGAAATAAAATATTTCAAAACATCAAAGTGGGTCAAAATATTAAATGAAATTATTGGAATGAGTAAAATACTAATAAAATTATGAAATGTGGAAACATTTCACATACCCTAAATGTCTCCCCAAGAAGCTATACATTCACACACGTACTCTACAATCAAAGGTAAATATTTTAGCCACTGTATGTCACAAAGCTGATTACCTAATTACAACCTGAAACAATCAGCCTAAGCTTGTAAGCTAGGTGTTCCTAAAGGTCCAGTGTTTGTATGAAGGTGAAATGTGGGATTGGAATGGTGGGCAGAAGAGAACATTAAGTGTATATCGTTTGGTATTCAGAAGCTTAAGTGTTTCTTATTTTATTCCTTTGCTTTAAACAAAACAACAGGTTTGACGACACTGTGGGCCTTCAGATGGTATCCCACTGTACCACGAGAAAAATCAAAAGTGATTCACCAAAATCAGTTAAAAAATTTGGTAAATTAATCTTTCCTAGCTTTGAATAATAAAAATAAATAAAATTGGTTGTTATTAGATTTTAGTTGTTGTTAGTTGTTGATCTTTTCATTAATAGATCACTTGTAAATTAGTTAATTCTCTAAAATTTTGCAATGTCAACTGCCATAAAGACAATCATTCCTAAACAAATGTACTTACCTGGTTTAATAGAACATTATTTTCTCTGTTTTGCTGTCAAAAGAGCAATTAACTTTATCTGATTCCTTGGGCAGTTATTCTGTATTAAACCCTCCTGTTTTGGAAAGACTGTTTTCAATGTTATGGAGAGTAATTGGCGACCATTAAAATCCTTGATAACAATGTGTTTTGAATTAATGTGAGAAATGGCAACTAAATTGCTCCTTGCTTCTTATTTTTCAGCTCTAATTCTTAAAATATTATCCATGATCTATAAATTGGTACAGAGCAACACCTATGCAACGAAAAGGTAAATATATTATTCTGGTAAACTACTTACTCTTCAAATAGAATGTGTGATTTCTTTGGATTAACTTTCGTTATATGCTTTGAAAACCCACCCAACTGTGGACAATGAATTACTTGCCTTATATGTTGTGTTTCATTCAGTTAAAGCTTTCTCCAAATAGCATTTCTAATGCTTGTCATATTCACAGAAGAATACTTAATTAACAATGTATGTTTTAAATTTTTGTAGAGACATATATTACACTGACAGCCAGCTCTTTGGTAATCAGTCTGTTGTGGACAATATTATTGATGACATTTCTTGTATGCTGAAAGTGCCACGGAGGAGTCTACATATAGTAAGTTGTACTTAATATAAACATTTTATTTGAAACCAAAATGTTTCTTAAAAATTGCAATAAAAATAAATGTAATCTGTGCCTGTTTGAGATCATTTGATACTATATTTTTTCTCATATAAATTTAAATTGTCTTTTCAATATATTCCTTTGGATGAATGAACCAAATCAGGTGAATTATGAAATGCTTTAATTCCTAAATACCCATGCATAGTTTTTCCTTCATCTGCAAATTCCAGTCTGAGCAAAAGGACGATAATATAGCCGGTGAACATGAGTATAGCAGCATGATATGTATCAGTGGAAAAGGTTTCACAGATGTCTGTACTTTTTGTTCAGTTATCGACATCCAAAGGGTTAATCGCTGGCAGTCTGAGGTTCACTGAAGAAGATGGCACCAGAGTGAGCTGTGCCTGTGGCGCTTCTGTAAGCATCCTGACGTCTCCTGGTCGTTGGCCCTTCCGGTTCCTTTAATTTTGAAATATATTTTATTTCTTGCTTGTTACATAATTTAGAGCTTAAGATTTTCAAGTACAACTGATGGATGAATAGACCTAGGCTCTACCTCACATAGTTCAAAATATGCCAGTTGTCGTATTGAAATAAACACTTTCCATTTAAAACAAACTGTTATGTTTTAAAACACACAGCTGAACTGTGACTATTTTAGCCTGGTTATTTATGTAATCTCCACTTGACTATTTTAGCCTGGTTATTTATGTAATCTCCACAAACATTTCCTGTTCTAAAATTAATATATTGTATACTACCCTCTTGGCTAGGCCTTGGTATGTCGAGAACCTCAGTCCTGGATGGGGCCACCCAGCAGTCAGGAAAGGAGACAGGTGATACCCCAAGTTCCTACATCAGGACATTTTCCTTATCTTTTTCTTTCCTTTTCTTCGTACTGAGGACTGAACCCAAGGCCTTTGCACTAAACTACATCCCCAGTCCTTTTTTATTTTTTTTATTTTGAGACAGGGTCTTACTAAGCTGCCAGTTATCCAGCCTGGGCTCAAAGTTGCTATCCTCTTGCCTCAGCCATCCATAGTGCTGAGATTACAGGTGTGAAACACCATACATGGCTCATTTCTGTCTTTTAAGCCATGTATCTACAAAGCATCTAAGAAATTCTCCCTGCTGGGAAGCAGTGTGGGTCGTGTGTCTGTTTCCTTACTGAGGAATTACTTTCTTCTCCACTGTTGCCGCACTGAGCAATAAGTCTTTGATGACTGATACAGTCAAAGAAAAATGAAAACATGATTCATGTGATACATTATAATGTGTAGTTTAACTTACTTTTTATTTAAAATTTTTAATGTCCTTTTTTTTAAAAACTTAGGCTATTGCTGTGCCATCTAATATTCAAGGACTTCGGAGTATCCTTCAAGTGAGAAAAGTATTTAAACTTCTGGAGTGTTGATTCCTTGCACTGGTAAATCAAGCATTCACAGTGTGTAAGGAGCAAGTGAGACCATGTCACCATCAGGAAGCACAGGCCTGGTCCCTTCTTAGGGACGTTTCTGGATGCTCACCATGAAGTGGGAGACACAGATGTGTGAATACAGGGATAGAAATGTTTATATGTGTAAAAGTAAAAGTGAGAATGTTCCTTCAGTTTATCAGCCTTAACATCACAGACTTAATTACAGATGCAAAATTTCTGTTAATTGTAGAAAAAGATGCAACATTTCAGCGGCTCCTAGATGACAACTTCTGCAACAAAATGTCGCCATGCATCATGGTGACGGTATAGTATCTGCTTTTACCTCACTCTGCAGACTAACGCGTGTGCTTTGATGTTGGTAAGAGGGGTTTGTAACCTCATCTCTGCACCTTGGACAACATTCTAGTTTCCATAGTGCGCGTCACTTGACATCAAAGAACAGGAATATCCAAGGTGTTAAACATTCTCAAACATGACTAAAAACAAGGCAATGGGCATGACCTTTAAGTTCCAGTAAATGTCCAGTACCAGGGGTGCTTACACAGACCCTTGGTGTCACCATCACACTTCCCACAGGTACTTTCATGTATTTTATGTTCACGCATGGGATTTGTCCAGGGTTTGGTGAACAGAGCTGCTCCTTGTTTCCTCTCTTTGTATATAAAGTAATTTCACTAACTCAGTCAAAAGGAGCTTGCTTCCCCCCCCCCACACACACCCCTTTTTCTTTGTTTTGTTATTTTGAGACACGGTCTCTCCATGTAGTTCAGGCTGGCCTCGAACTTACTAAAGTGATCCTTGTGCCTCACCCTCTCCACTGCTGAGATTATAGGCATGTGAAGGCTGGCTAGGAGCTTGCTTTTTAAAAACAAATGTGCAAAGAATAGCAATGAACAGATGCACAGACATCACGATTTGTATCATTGAGAGAACTCACAGGACACTACAGGCTTCGCTCATGGCAGTGTCTAGCCTTAACGGCATACCCTAGACTGAGTCATTTAGACAATACACATTCACTTCTCACAGTTTTAGAGGTGAGTTAGTATCAAGGGGCCAGCAGATTCCAAGACTGGTGCGACCCTGCTTTTGGTGCCCTGGATGATCATCTTCTCCTTGACTCCTCAGTCCTCAGACGGCAGAGATCTACCTGGGTGCCTTTCACATGAGCCCTCATCCCAATCAGAAGGGTTCCACCCACATGACTTAAGCACTTCCCAAAGGTGCTACCTCCTGATGCCATTGAATTGAAGTTAGGGCTCGGTATAAACCTGGGAGGGACAGAACGGTCCACTGCAGGCAGAAAACTTCTTGCTCCAGGGTGACGTGGAGTTCATGGACCTGGAGTGACCAGCAAAGCCTGCTGGAGTCAGAGAGAAAGAGGTGGGGATGAAGGAAGCCTGGAGCAGGTGTGGGTAGGGTGACCACAGTGTCAGAGAATGGACCAGGTTCTCCTCTGTAAGCTTTTTCCAGCCTTCTGCTTTTGTAGATCTGGATAAAAACCTAGCTCTTTGAAGAAGAAGAAAAAAAAACAAAAAACAACTCATCTACTTAAAATTCCTCTGGCTTATTGGATTAACAGTAAGTATGTGTGTGTGAAGTATGTTTATGGAAGCATGCCAAGAGCGACTCTGGAGAGGAAGCAGGTGACTAGGCTGGTGGATGGAGTCCTGAAAGGCCTGGCCACTCCCACGGAGGCGTCCTGATTTAGTGCAGAAAAATCAGGGCTCACAGCGATGTTTGAAGTAGAGGAAGGAAACGACATGGATTAGTGTGGCAGTGCACCCGTTAGATGGAGATAGGGAAGTTGGGGCCTGGTAGGGCCTTCGGGCAGTTCTCCTGGGGTAAAGATGAAAGGGGATGGTGAAGGGAATACATGAAAGGACTTGGTGACCACTGGAGGTGAGGGACAAGTCCAGCAGCTCTTCTGCATGAATTTCAGAGCAGTATCACCACTGACAGCTACAGGACAAGCACCAGGCACACTCAGCTCTCCACAGGATTTGGAGTGTGGTTTTAGAGAGGTGAACTTGGCAGGACAGCAGAAAATCCAGGTGGCATCTGCCTAGTTTGAAGTTAAGGGACAAGGGTGGAGATGGAAGTGCAGAGCAAGAGTGGTAGAACAGAAGCCCTATCTGAGGCCCTGCAGTGGGTGCGCTCTGTGGGCATGGCCTGCAGCTCATCTCTGGCCTGGTCTCCTCTCCTTTCACTTAGCACCGAGAGGCTGACTGGAGGCCCAGCCACTTCAGATAGAAGGCCCAGGAGTTCAGCCCAGCCCTTTGAGTCCCATCTGGTGCTGCTGCTCTGGAGATGCCCATACGCTTGCCTCAGGGTCACGTTTGGGTTGAAGAGAGGATCTGAGTGGTTGTAAAGAACATTTGAGGGAAAAGTCACACATAATCCATTTTTTTTGCTCTTTTTTGCGTGCTGCCTTCTAGCCCTTGCCTGCATGCTTGCGCACACAGCTTTCCCTCAGTACTGCCACAGTATCCAGCAGTAATCACTAGTATTATCCAGGTGGTGACCTGTAGGGACTGCCTCTGAAGAAGGGAGCTGGGACTAGAGGACCAGGCGAGGAAGAAGCCATTTTCACCCAATGTCCTTTCATGCTGTCTGATTTCTCTGGCACGTTCCTGTGTTATCTTTTCCCAAAGGAAAACATTAAAATGTACTACCATTCGCCAAGTACTCACTACGGACCAGGAGCTTTGCTAAGCACTGTGTGTAATGAAAGTTCACACTTTTTTAATTTTTTGAAACAAGGTCTCATTATGTAGTTCAGGCTGGCCTTGAACTTGCTAGGTGGCCTAGGCTGGCCTCAATCTCATGGTAAGCCTCCTGTCTCAGTCTTTCATGTGCTGGGAGGTCTGTATTCTCATCACCTCTACTTTGATAATAAGAACTACAGTGCATTGTGTATTTTTGTTGTTTTTTAAATTTTTTTGCTGTCCTTGAGATTGAACCCAGGTCCTTATGTATGCTAGGGAAGCATTCTACCACTAAGCTACAGTCCCAATCCCAGGAAAGTGCCTTACCATAGTTCTGTGGCTACTCAAAACCGGGGCTTGGGTCAGATAACTCTGTGTTCAGCTCTGTGTTGCTATAGTGCCAGATATGTAACTTCATAGGTAAAGCCAAGGCCTAAGAAACATGCTTACTATCACAGGCACATTCATTTATGATAATGATGGGCAGAGAATTCAAACTCAGAGCTATCTGATCCAAAGCCTGTCTTGATTTTTTCCCCTGGTCACTGCCCCCATATACTGAGGATTGAACCCAGGGCCTTGTGCATGCCAAGCAAGATTTCTACCATAGACTACATGTCTTGTACCCAAAGCTTGTTCTTAACAGCAACACTTTTTGTTGTTGTTGTTGTTGTTGTTGTTGTTTTTGGTACGGGGGATGGAATGCAGGTCCTTGCGCTTGTGCAGCAGGCGGCAAAACCACTGAGCTAAATCCCCAGCCCAGCAACATGTATTTTGCTTCCTTTCTCTGTTGTGTTTCATTTGGTTTCCTTCCTTTCTTTCTTAACACTATTGTAAATGCTTTGTAAATTACTTTATTTTTTGTTTTTTGTTGTTTTTGAGACAGGGTCTGGCCATGTAGTTTAGACCAGCCTTGAACTCACTAGGTAGCCCAGGCTGACCTCCAACTAACAGTGATCCTCCTGCCTTAGCTTCCTGAGGACTGGATTATAGGCGTGTGCCACCACACCCGGCTAATTACTTTTCTACCTGTTTTAATAATTTATTCTACCACTAGGGCTTACTAAACCCTAAATTTAAACCAGGCACTCTTAAGTGGTTCATGATTATTGAATAATGTAATTCCTTTTCCAACTGTATAAGCCATTGCAGAGCCCCAATCACAGGAGGCTTCATTACTCCTTCAAATCCATGCCATCCAGAAGTGCACAGCTGAGATGACAGCTGGGCCCTTTGACCCCACAGCTGGCTTCCTGTTATCACTGAGCTGGGCCACCTGGACACGTCCCTGTTGTTAGATGTCTTGACTATTGTTTTGGTTAGTTTTTGCCATTTTAAATAACATATCAGGGATCATCTTTTAGTATGTAGGATTTTTCTTATTTCTGTTTCGGTGAAAATGTTGCCTTGGGATTATTTCCTAGGACTGGTGTAATGGGGGCAGAGGCATTAATGCACACGGGGTCCTCCAGCCTGTCACATGTATTTCACAATGGCTCCCAGTCACTGCCAGTTTTCCCCATCCGAGGTGGGGAATCGCGCTTTTAAATTATGAATGAAACAAGGGAGTCATGGTATCCATTTTATCCTACTGGATAAAATTAATAGTTTAATTTCTATCTTGCTTCTAGGGAAAAGGTATACCTGATCTGAACACGAGACTTTTAGTCAAGAAACTGTGGGACCTCTTTCACATTCCCGTTTTCACATTGGTAGATGCTGATCCACATGGTAATTTACCCTGGGACTCTTCAGAGTAGTCATGGTTAAATCATGTTTCTAGTTGTGCTTTCTGCTCTTAAAACACTTTCATAAACAGGTCTGTGGATTTAGCTCAGTGGTTTCACCGCCTGCTATGCAAGCGCAAGGACCCATGTTTGATCCCTGGTACCAAAAAAACAACAACAAAAAATCACTTTCATAAACTATTTTAAGAGAATATGATTAGATTAAAATTGAAGACTATAATTATTTAAGGCAATGTATGGTTATGTCTGCTATATTAACCCGAGAAACAGAAATTTTTCATCAGTAATGCTCACAAAAATAAAAATTACAGATGTTAGATAAAATTTGACATATAAACCAATAAACTAATAAACTAATTTTAAAGTTAATTTTCTTTTAATAGGCATAGAAATAATGTGCATCTATAAGTATGGATCTATGGTGAGTACACAAAAGTAGTTTTCCTTTCCTTACTGTTTACACATTTTGCATCCACTGGGATGGTTCTGCATTTGCTGAGCACCCTCTAGGAAGCTAAGGGCCCCCAGAATGGGTAAGGGCAGTGGTGGCGAACCTATGGCACACATGCCGTAGCAGGCTGTTTGTACCATTGAAAGCTCTGTTATTGTGTTTTTAAGACAAAAGATTGTTTTTTCTAAACTAAAACCTCAGTATTCAGGTTTAATTGCAGTGTTAGCGCTTTGGGATAAGTAAGTAGATTTTGGGTTGCAGTTTGGGGACTCAGTCTCTAAAAGGTTTGAAACCACTGTGCCAGGGACCTAGAGTCCTATTCTGTGGCTCAGTGGCTATAAGTCCAGCTTCCAGCAAGACCACAGCAGCCACAAGTGACAGGGAAAGACATGCTATGGGCAAGAAGCATCAGCATCCTGCATTCTCCAGCCTCCTGAAGCATGGGGTATGATCCAAAAATGCAGTGAATGTTTAAAGCTCTCAAAAGCTTATTACAATAAAAGACATTGCCATTAATCCCTCTCAAAATACTTATCACATCATCCTTGCCACTTTTTGAAGCAGTGTTGGAAACTCTCTTTTGTGAGTGTCGTTAGTGGCATTTTTGTGGCTGCCTTGATATCCTGAATTGATTCAAAGTGTTTACCTTTCATGGTCATTTTGACTTTGGGGAAGAGCCAGAAGTCACACAGTGCCCAGATCCAGTGAATAAGGTGGATGAGAAAATACGGTAATATTTTTACGAGCCTGCCTTTCCACTGGATGGGATCAACATTTACTGTATTTTTTTTTTTATCATGCCTGCCTTTCCCTTGGATGAAACTCAGCAGCAGCATTCACCTCATAAAGATGCTCATGAAAGAAGACTTCCAGGACTGCTTATGAAAATGGCAAGAATGATGGGCTAAGTGTGTCCAAAGTGAGGAAGAGTATTTTGATGGAGATTGATGGCAATGTATCTCTTACTGTAATACATTTTAAAATTTTGAACATTCACCATATATTTTGATCATGCCTCATAAGTGCAGGGACTCTGAAATGACCATAGTTCAGTGGCTCTTGCAGTGTGATCTTGGGCCAGTGACATGAGCATCACTGGGAAGCTTGTTAGAACTGCACATTTCAGTCCCCATCCAGACCTACTGAACCTCAGACTCCAGGTGACTCTAATGCCTGGTCAGGTTCACAGCGGATGGAGGAGGACAGAGAATGTGCAGGATATGGAACCACAGATAGTAATGACTGCACGTTGGAAAGGTTCACTTGTAGTTTTGCTTCTAGAAAATTAATACAAAAGTACTACAGAGCAGTTCAACGCTTGTGTGTCTTAATAAGCAAAAAGTTTTCCTTCAAAAATGGGACTGCTGATGCCAGTTCCCTCCAAGTAAGTCTCATCTAATGTACTTCTGCTCTTTGTTTCAGTCTATGTCATTTGAAGCCCACAACCTCACAGTCCCGGCTGTTAGATGGCTCGGTCTCCTCCCTTCTGATATTAACAGGTTAGATGGTACAGTGGACTAGGACATTTAAAATGATGGTTCGTTACCATGTGTGACAATGAGCCACGAAAGTTGCACCAAGAAAAACTTTTAAATGTTTTTAATTTATATTGTCCACTATGACTCAGGATTATACAATTATGAATTAGATTAATCAGCATTTTTGCTTCGACTATGAAAATACTTAACAAATGAGTTTGTTTAGTTGTACTTTAAAAGGCTAGCTACAGAAATGATTTTTTATTACTATGGTTAAACATTCTGTACACTTTTTATTATTTTTTTTATTTTTTATTTTTGGTACTGGGGATCAAACTCAGGTCCCTGTGCTAGCAGGGCAGGCAGCAGAACCACTGAGCTAAATCCCCGGCCCTCTGTATATTTTTTATACTTAAAATATGTATTATACATGGAACCTAACTAAATGATGATCATTGACAATATTGTTTGCCACATGAATTAATTTTACCATACATTTAAAATTTTAACCTCATAAAACCTCATTTTAGGATTACCTAAAATCTGGGAACCTCATGTGTGGCAAGTTGAATGTATATATTCATAATAGAAAAAAATTATTTACAAGATAAAAGTCCCTACAATTGAGCAGTTTTGCTTTTGTAGAGTACTTTCTGTCCATAGTCATAACTTCTTCACTAAGATGTGATCATACTGTCATTTTGTAATCTGCTTTTACCATGCAACATAATGTGATCATTTTTCTATATCAATAAATTATTTCTCTTGTGTGACACCATGTTACTGCCTCTTACTTTTGAGCTTCAATTCTGGGTGATTGTTTAGTTAATCCCGCATAGACATTTAGGTGTTTTCCAAATCTCTGTTCTGATAGTGTGCTTATGGACCTTCTTGTAACTAAATCTTTTCCTGAGTCTCTAATTAGTCCCTGAGGCTGAATTCCCAGAAGAATCATGGGTCAAAGGGTGCACACATTTTGAGGCTCTGGCTGCCCTCTGGATAGGTTAATTGATTTGCTGTTCTTGGAGAGTGAGCAGCACCCATCCCTTGACACAGGAGAGTAACACTTTGGTTTATCATTTCTGCCAATGTGATATTTTAAATGTCTTCTTCATATTGTTTTAATTTTCCAGTTTGGATGAACTTAACATGTTTATTAGATTTCTTTAAGCAGTGAGCCATCCTTGGTTACAGGTGTTTATTTCCAAAAAACAGAATGTGGGCAGTTTTTGGATGATCAACTGTTTTTAAAATGAAAGCATAAGAGGAAACATTTCCTTTTTTGTTTTTTAATATTTCCATCCAATGAATTAAAGTTTTGTTCAATGTAGTGTATATGTCATGGTCGCAATTTCTTGGAGGTGATCTATTTGAAGATCATTTCTAACACGAATTCAGGACAAATGATCTGGTAAATTTTAAGGTAGAGGGCTTGGAGAAGCTCTAGCAGCAGCTCATAAATTCCATCTGTGCCCTCAGAACCACTGCAAATATATAAATACACGATCAAAGGCAAAGCATTGTAGTAGTTACACAAATACGCTGCAAGAGAAGTGCTGTAGGCCTCCCTTTCAATCAAATTGTCACCCCTATACAGGAGCTGGCACTGGCAAATGGTCATAATTATGGGGACATTGAAAAAGACTATTTGAAATTGGAGCTCTCCTGGGAAATCTAGGATTTGTGACTTCAAAAAGTAGATTATGCCATAAATCCCAGAGCTCTCATGTTCTATTTTTACAGCACATACCAAGATAAAGTTACATTCTACTTTTTCAAATTTAAAACTAGATGGTCTGTCTCTGGGGGGCGGGGGGGCGCGTGCGCGCATGCTTTCATGCCTATGTGGAAAGTGATGGATCAATGTCTGTGGCTCAGAATCCTCAAGGAATTACAAAGATTTCAGTACATAGTGAGCTTAAACGTGCCTCTGTGAAGCTGAGCTTCACCCCATGTAGTCTGGAGCTCACGCCTCTAAGAACTGTAGCTATGAACTTTAAAATTCGCCGGTCTAGGATGTGACAGATTTATGAGCTAGATCTCTATCGATTTTCTTATCTGTTACTCCTGAGTTTCTTGACACATGCAATAAATATAGGCAAAATATATCCTTCATAGGAACACATTGTTTTTACTGATTTTTTTCATCTATTTTTTCCAGGTTAAATATACCTAAAGATAGTTTAATTCCACTTACAAAACGGGACCAAATGAAACTTGACAGTATCTTGAAGAGACCTTATGTTACCTGCCAACCATTTTGGAGAAAAGAAGTATCTGTTTCTTTTTAAAATTCAAGTATTGTATAAAGTTTCGTTACCTTGCACTTTAGTAGTGGCTATTCACTTAGCGTTTTGAAAATATCCTTGAAATTTTATATCACCAAAAACTAATGTCAGTGTGGTTTGGCAGTAAGTAAATGTCAAAATCAAATCTATGAAAGCTAATAGCTGAGATCAGCCAGATGCAGATGGTTTATTTTTATCCTTATCATAGTTATTTATCCTTTTTCAATGGGCTGTGTCATAGTTTATAGGATAAGAGAAGAATTAGTAAAAACTCCAAGCCCATTCCTACTTATTGAACCTGTAGCAGACCTAAAATATTCTGGCTGACTGACCCTAAAGACTATTCCCTGTGGTTCTGTACAATACAGTGAATCTAGAGTGAGTATTTTGTTGAACTAGAAGAACTGCAGGCCTCTCGTGTGACTCTCTTTTCACTATATTGACAGATGGAAATGATGGCAGACTCTAGAATGAAGGCGGAAATCCAAGCTTTGACCTCCCTGTCCTCAGATTACCTTTCCAGAGTATACTTACCCAACAAGCTAAAATTTGGAGGGTGGATATGAAAGAACATTGGAAGAACTTGTGATTGCCTGAGGCTTATTATTACTTTTAGTTGGCGAACTCTTTTATGGAAAAACTATCCATCCCTAATTCTGTAAAGGTAGAACAAAATAATTTCTCACTATATGTTTTGTCAAAACAAATGCTATGTTCTGATTTTCTTTAGAAGGCTTTATTTTATCCTCTGTGGAGATTGGTTTCTATCCTATATTCTAAAATAAATTATAAAAGAATATATGTGATTTTTGACTTTTAAATTGTATTTGAAAGAATGTTTTACATGTTGTAAAAGTCTATAAAATATTTTCTTTGTCTTCTACAATATAACTAAAGTAAGGCATGAAGTATTTTATTAGTAACAAAAATAATAATAATATAAATTTGAGATGTTGCAAAGCAGTTAGTGCCTGGTAGTTTCTTCCTTTCTCTTTTGCCTTCATAGTATAGTGGTCATAGCATAGGAGCCATGCTCCCTTAACTCATTTGTAAACCTAGTAAAATTTATTGTGAATAAATATTTGGGTTGATGTACTCTCCAATGCTTTGCTTTGCTTTGTCTTGAGTATATCTTTATAATGACAACACTTATTTGTAAATATTTCCTGGGGTGTTACTCGTTATTGCCTGAAATAGCACCTGAATTCTTCTTTAGTCTAATCCCATAATACAAAGAACTTCTTTGGTTTGAAGAGCTAAAGAAGCCTCAGATTTTAATAAGGCACTTTTCTAACAGTAGGAGTGTAATCTTTCCTCTTATAAAGCCATTTTAATTTTTATAAAGATAAGTTTTATTATTTTATTGGATACTTTTAGTAAATCACTGCAATGAAAGTTTCTTGTAATTATAAGTAACAAAATGCATTCATAGAAATGTTGGGTTGGTTTATAAATATAAATGGTGATGATAATAGATACCATTTCTGAAAACTTACGTGTGTCAATTGCTGTTCATGTGTGGTCTGATTTCACTTTCCCAAGAACCTTGCAATTACTCAGTAACTACACCGTAATTTATAAATGACAACACTGACCATGTTACCTGTCCAAAGCCACAATAACACTAGGGGACAGTGTTACTGCCAATCTCCAGAGCACATCCAGTTACAGAACATGCAGGTCCCGGTCAGGTGTGATGGCACACACTTATAATCCCAGCACTCAGGGGGCTGAGGCAGGAGGATCACCGCCAGTTCCAGGCCAGCCTGGGCTCCACAATGAGTTCACCCCTGACCTGGACTGCATAGTAAGACTGTCTCAAAAACCAACAATAACCAATAAATGCAGATCCCAGTGCAAAATACAAATGATGAGGGGCTGGTTTTAAAGGTTAAGAACGTCAAGGAGGTAGGAATAAGAATTAAACCAAGCAGGCCTTCCTTAGGCTGGGATCCTTGTGACTACAGTGGTTGCACACCCGTGAGACCAGCCCTGCCCACAAGGCTGTGGTAAGGGTTAAATTGAGTAATATAATAATAAAAGAAAAAACTTAGATAGCACTTATTTTCTTCCAGGCATTTTTCTGGGTGTTTTGCAAACAATAATCCTTTCATACCCACACCCATCTGAGCTAGGTACTTTTATTATCATTCCTAGTTCACAGATGAAAATATAGAGGTACAGAGAGGTTAAGTAACTTTCCCAAGTCACATAACTAAACTTAACCCTGAGAGCCTGTATCCCACTACCCTGGTACATGTACAGTGCTGCGCATGTGGGCTGGTGTGCACACTGCTAGTGTAAAGTCTGTGACCCTTATTGGTGCCAAATCAAGGCCTCCTTGATGCTATGCCTGTGACATTAACAAATATATCATATTTCACGGACACACGGATACTAAACATTTTATTTTGAAAACATTCTGGCATGCTGTTAATTTTACTTATGAGACTATCAAAAATTCTTAAATTATAAATCACAAAGTTTTTCTTTACATTTCTACCATATTTTATATGTTTAACCCAGCAACCATCTGGATTAGGGTACACAGTCCAAACTGGGAGGGAATAACAAATCTACAATAGTCATTAAAATTTGGGAGTATATCTGAAAATAGTTTGCAGATCTATTCAGTTGATATAATTAAATAATTTTAAGTTTATGACTGGAAATTTACTTAATTTTCAATTATTTGGGAAACGTTTATGGAAGGAGCAACATACATTATAGTTTGCCTTTACTACCTAACTTTATTGGATACAGATGAAAAATTAATGCTATTTGGAACCATCTAGAATTCTAATCATAAAATTTATTTCCAAAACAGATTACTGTGAAATAGCGGTTTAAAATAACTGACTACAGATACCGCTTCCACCATCATCTCTTTCATCTATGTTTAATATCTCCATACTTTAAATCTAGGAAGAATATTGGACTGGAATCTGTTTATAGTTAAAATGAATAGAAATAGAAACTAGTACAACAAAAAGATGTTCAGAAATTCTTGGTTTTCCTTATGGGCTCATAATGACCCTCATAAAATAAAAGCTGTGTAATATCCAGTTTTCTGGGAAATTTAACTGTCATGATGGGTGATGCTAAGTGATTTCAGAAGTTACTATTTCATGAAAAAAGACATGGTGCATTTTGTTCTAAAAACAGGCAAAACACCCAGGGTTTCCATCCATGGCTTCTTTCGTGACTGGGTCTCAGTTGAACTGTTAGTTTGATGTAGGCACCGATTGATTCAGTGATGCTGAAAAGAACAGACACTTTGAGAACTAAGCCGCATGCACATGTATTTTCAGCAGAACGCTTTTGTAGTAAAATACTGACCAACTCTTACTTCTACTTGCTCAGTGGATTCTTCGCTCCAAGGTCTGCCTCCTCGCCACCCCATCCCTCAAAACTCCCATAAACAAGCCAAGGCTGTCCTCTGCCGGCAGAAGCTCATGGTTCTTTTCCTTCCTTCCACTATTTTTTTTTTTTTTTTGTACCAGGGATTTAACTTGTGTCCTTGCGCTTACACAGCAGGCGGAGAAACCACTGAGCTAAATCCCCGGCCCTCCTTCCATTATTTTGGGTAGAATTTCTTTAAGATAGTTTTAGGGACTTGGAACAAGATCTCCCAGACGCCAAAGCTCTCCGAGGAGGTCAACACATGCAGACCGTAGCAAATAGAGAAGATCCAGCATGTGTGAGGCAAGCTCTCCAGGTCCCTTCCTCAGGGTCTTCCCCTCTCTCTCGCTCCGTTCTCCCTCTTCAGTACTAATTTGGGGGCGGCATATATTTGAGTCATTATAACAGACCCTTTCACATAAAAATTACAGGAGGCCACTGATTTGCACTTAGCTCCCACACTGGGCCCCAACAGACCAAAAATAAAAAAGAGTCACTCATACTAAGTTTCCAGTCACCAAACTGGAGCCCTTATCTGAACTTTCAAAACACCTAGCAAGTAAAGATAACAGGCCAGTTTCATTTAGCATGATAATAAAGTTCCCTGCTCTTTAATCCAGACCAAAAACAAAATCTTGATCTAATGTGATGCTAACCAGTCAGTTATCTATTGTTCTGTGACCTTGTCCCCCACCTTACAAGGAAAGGAACCAATCTACTTTCTTTTTCTAGTCCCAGGACTCAGACTGTCTCTAAAACCACCTTGTTCTATATGGTTCATTAAACCACTCATTCTAGGATCTCTAGCTAAATTGGTTGTAATTTTGTCCTTTGACATCCTTAGTATTTCTATGTGTGTAGCAAGAGCATTTCGCATGTTATTTCTCTTAACCTAATGAGGAACAGCACGGCAAGTTAGGTATCATCCTCCTCTTGCTGCAGGAAACTTGAGGGACCCAGGAGTCCCCGGGAGGCTTGGTCAGAAGAAAGGCAGCTTTCCCAAATTGGCAGTAGTAAGATTTTTTAAAGGCGTTTAAATACGACAACTGTTTCTACGAAAATCGCTACTTTTCACAATTAGCTTAAATTGCTAATTTAGAAAAGCGGTTGCTTAGCAACCTGCCGCAACTTTCCACCAATTAGCAAACTGCTGGCACAAGGACTTCCTTTTGACCCCAATAACTCTTTTGCGCATGTGTCCTCGCCAGGCGGGAGGAGGAGCCTTTTTCAACGCCTTCCGGGCGACGCCGGAAGTGGTTTAAGGACACATGCGCCCTGTTTCAGCGGTAATTGAGCACTTTCTGTTACCGGTTTAACGAGACCCCCCAGGCGCTTGGGGTTCCTGCTCCACACCACCTCGCCCTTTTCCCTTCCTCCCTAGAGCAAGTGTGCAGGCTTCACCTTCCTCCGCCGCCTGCCCGCCGCGGCGCGCCCCGCAGGTAGGCCCTGCGCCCGCATCCTCCGCGTCGCCGCCATGGCGCGGGCGGAGCCCGAGCCCGAGCCCCTGCGTGACCGCCTCGCTGTGGGCCGCGGGGGAGCCAGCTGGCCGTGGGCTGAGCTTACTGGTTACAGCTGGGAGACAGGTCAGAGCAGGAGCCGTGTGGGTGACTCGGGTCTAATCTTGTCGTTCTCCTTGTGGGGAAACCGAGGCTCTGGGAAGGGCTACACTGAGTTAATGTCAACGTTTGTCGCCTCTGTCTTGCCTCCTTATCCGTCTGGCTTCTCAGACACTTGTCACCTCCTCAGAGAAGTCTTCCCTGGTCGGTCTGCTACCGTTCTAGACTTCTCACTCGAAAATTAAGTGTGTTTGTCTCCCCTCGCCAGTTATCTCTTGTACACGCCCGTGTGTACACGCCCGTGTGTACGCACTTCCCCCAGACAGTTCTCCAGGTCTTCAGTGGGGCGGTTCCTGTGCCGCGGGGCCTCCACAGAGATCCCTGCCCTCGTGGAGCGAGCACACTGCTGGGGAAGAGCTTGGTTTTTTGAGTTTTTGTTTCTTTTGTTTGAGACAGGATCTCGCTGTGTAGTTCAGGCGGGCTTTGAACTCACTGTGTAATCCAGGCTGGCCTTGACTTTGCAGGGATCCTCCTGCCTCAGCCTCCCAAGTGCTGGGATTACAGAGGTGTTTGACCACGCCCGGCAGAGCTTGTAAACACGAAATTGCAGTGAAGAAAACGGAGGGGGGGGGCGGGGAGCAGGGTGACGATGGAGGGTTGGATTTGTTAGGGAAGCCTCGCAGGTGACTTTTTAAAAATCCGCACCTGACAGCTTTATCAGAGTATAGTTTACATAACATTAAGTCCACCCAGGAAAAGTGCATGTTTTGATGAGTTTGGGAAATTGTATACATTTGTCTAAATGTCACCGCAGTGCGGCTTTAGAACATTTCCACCACCACAAAAAGTTCTGAGAAAACAACTTTTGAACTGGGGTGTGCAGATTGGGAGGAGGTCGCCCAGAGCTGAAGTACATAGTAGAGGGTGTGCTGGGGTGCACGAAGGAGGAAGAGAGTGGGAAGGTGCCTGGAGCTTCTCAGTGCCTGCAGCACAACGCATGACCCACACCAGTTAGTAGGGCCTTGACTTTTGCCTAGAGTCCTGCATGTTCATCCCTAATGGCATCTTGAAGGTTGGGGGACAGAGGAGGACAGAAATGACCAAAAACTTACTGTGAGCCAGCCCTAACAGTAGTATACACTTTTAATCCCAGCTACTCAGGAGGCTGAGGCAGGAGGATCACCCTGTCTCAAAATTAAATAAGGGCTGTGGATGTAGCTCAGTGGTAGAGTGCTTTCATAACTTATGCAGAGCCTTAGGTTCAATCCTTAGTACTGCAAAACAAAAAACTGGTTGTATCTCAGGTTGTATCTCAAGACCTGCACTTAGTTCTTGTAACTGTGAAGTCCATATTAGTTGTCTGTTTTATAGGTGAGAAGATGAAAACTAAACAACGCGTCCAGAGCCATATAGCAGTTGTTTTCTGGACTCTGATTACAGGAGCCCTGTTGGTATTTGCTTGTTCATGCAGCCAATTGGTGTTTTGAGTGCATCTGCACTTTTGAGGGCAGAAATGTGGTTGGCACCACCATGCCCTCTTGCAGAGTAGATTTCTGAGATGTTAATGTGCTCAGAGATCTTGCTCAGACCCGTTCTGTTTGCACTTTATTTTCTGTGACGTTGAGGAAACTCCCATCCCCTCCAAAGTCCCTCGAGCGTCTCGCATCTTGTGTTGTCTCGGTTAGCAAGTACTGTGTATCTCTGTATTATTGGACTCCTCTTGGAGAGTGACTGACGTGGTGAACTTCTGGGTGAAGAAATTTGCTAACCAGTAACATAATTCAAAATGTGATGTCATTGCGTGTGAGTCATTAGAGAATTAGACGTTCTCCTTGGAAGGGAAAGGGAAGTTGTTTACTCTGCTCTGTGCGCCAGGCAGTGGCACTTTTCACATAGTCTGATGTGGGCCTCAGAGCAGTCTTGAAGAATGTGCAGCATTTGTTTTCAGAGCAGGAAAGCAAGGCCTGGAGAAATGAGGGTTCCAGCTCTGGCAAATGGCAGGGGTCCCATTCAAACCCTGAGTGGCCTGGTAGATTGTGATGCTCAAGAAAAAAGTCCGGCGGAAATTATTGCCAAGTAAATGTCCACCACTCAATGCCAGATCTTTGGCCACTCAAGCAGGCCAGAGTGGATTCCTTTGTTAAAACTCCTCCTCATGTGAAATTGTGAGTCTGTTAGAACTGGTGCTTTTTCTAGCTAACTGCATGCAGAGATCAGAGTACAGAAATAAGAAGGTAAACTTCTATTTCTGCCATGTAGCTGAGTATCTCTTAACTATGTAAAGAATGACCCAATTTATTTCCTAGCTGGTGTCTAAAAAAATACTCTGCTATAATATATCTGTGTTTGCTCATTAGTGGTGACAAATACATCATACATAGTAATAGTAGGGGAAGAAGGTATGGAGTATATGGGAATTCTCTTGTCTTTTCAATTTTCTGCAAATGTGAAACTGTTCTGAAATAGAAAGTTGCTTACTATAGATTTAGATCTGAAGAGAGAAGCCTGGCATTGAGCCATTCAGAAGAGCTCTGTTCTGGGACTTAGTATCTACATTGCATCTCACTGATGTTTATTACTCAGGAAAGGAGCTATCTTTAACGTTTTCCACTTTATTTTTAGAGCGAAAATGAGTCTGTTCGGAACAACTTCTGGTTTTGGAACTGGTGGGACCAGCATGTTTGGCAGCACAACCACAGATAACCATAATCCTATGAAGGTACCACACAAGGCTGCATGAGGTTTGCAGGGCGAGTGCAGGCTGGAATTTTCACACTGTGACAGGAAGAGATGGCCTGGGGGCTGCCTTTGCGGTGAAAGCTCTGGGGTTTTGTGCAGCCATACTTTCTCGGGCCTGGAATTCAGGAGTGCCTGTCTCCGGGACAGTACCCTGCTCCCCCTGACTGGCTGGGCCTGCAGAGGCAGCATTTCCATGGCAGGGAGAGGAGAGAGGGCTGGAGTGAGCTGGCGGACAGAGGATGGGGCTTGGGCCTTCCCTGTAGGGACTCTGCCTGCCCAGGACTCCCAGTGCTGTGCCTGACTACTCCTCTCAGCTCAGAGTAAGGGAAGGTCTGAGTCCGGTTCTGAGGGAAGGAAAAGTCCGTCAGGATGCGTTTAGTGAGAAAGAAAACAGCTCTGATGTGGTGAGGATGTGTGCAGTTTAACATTGGTTTTTCCCTCCCCAGGATATTGAAGTGACATCTTCTCCTGATGACAGCATCGGGTGTCTATCATTTAGCCCCCCAACCTTGCCGGGGAACTTTCTTGTTGCCGGATCGTGGGCTAATGATGTAAGTGCTTCCCGAGTACCTCTTCTCCTGTAAGCCATGTCTGTGTGCTCAGGGTCACCTTTCCCATCCGCCCCCTGCTGTGCCAAGTGAGTGAGGCCAAGCTAAGGCTGTGTGCATGGCCTTTTTCAAGAAACCAGTTCAGAGGCTGTGAGCCTTCCGAGTGGAGGCGTTTCAAGCGTATGCATTGCTTGAAAGGACCTGTGCTAGTTCAGGATCTTGTAGAATATTCCCAAATCAAATTGCTCACCTCTGAAAAGGAATGTTGCCCATGGTGGTGTACACAAATTTCCTTTCTTGGCATCCTGAAAATGTTCTTCAGGTATTTGTTCAACTTTTTTGACTTCAGACAGTCACACAAATCCTGCATGATTATTATAATTTCTCATTATGTTCATAAAGAAATCAGTCATCATGTACAAAAACTGGTAGAAAAATTAGCACGGCATGTGAAGAGGTACTTCACAAAAACTAAACTGCAGCCATTCAGCCACACGCGTAAGCAGAAAAAGACAAATTTATGTGATACTTTTTTGAATCAAATTAACAGAAGTTTAAGGTTTAAAAGAATAATAGTGCCAGAAACGCTAAATTTAAACCTTAACCCATATTGCTGGTAAGCATGTGAATTGGAACATCTCTTCTGGAGCGTAATTGGCAATGTTTTTCAGACATCTTAAGTTTAAGGGCCTTGTCTCATTGATTCTCCTGGAGGAAATCTGATAAGCTACTTTTTATGTGTTACCTGAATCAGTCTTTACAATAGCTAAAGCACCACGAGCCTCCTGCCACCTCATGTGACCAGTCAGGGTTCTGAGGCGGGGAGAAGTGGAATGGGAGGCCAGGTGCAGATTACACTCAGGCTCAGGCTGCCTGCCTGGCCACTGCCTGCTGCCTCGAATGACTGTGTGCCAGTGACAGTGGGAGAGTTGCAGCATTCAAAAGCAATGGTGCTTAATGATGTGTGCATACAGTGGGATACCACTTAGAAGTTTGCAGAGAAGATTTCAGACTGGCCTGCAGTGCGGGGAGAAGGGCTGAGGGGAGCATGGGAAGGAAAGACATCAAGGTTGAACAACTTTGCTTTATATGTAGTTTCTGAAAAATTTCATTTGCTTTGCTACTAAATGTTAGAAAAATGTTTAAAGATGAATAGGATGATGGTACCAGTGAGAAAAGCTGTGATTACAAAGTAAAGCTGCTGTATAATTAGTCATTTCAAGAACATTTGGGTACATTGAAGGAAGAGTGAAAGCACAGGAACTGTTAGCCATAACTGTCTGGTGAGAGTTTAGAGTGATTTTTATTTTCATTTGTTTAAATTAATTTTATTGGTACATTTTAGGTGTACAATACAATGACATTCATCGTTGGAAATTTGCACCTTTACATAATCTCTCTTGGTTCTTATTTTTTCCCCATCCCCTGCCCTCCAACCCTTCCATCCCTCCCTATCTACAAAGACTGTTACCATTTTTTCATTTTCTCATATTAATTCCATTCCCTTCTTTCTTTATTTTCTTAGAGAATCCCTTAAGTAAAATGTATTCTTTGAGGATGGAGAAGTAATAAAAAATTAAAGCATTCAGAGTAGAAACATAAGCTTCCACTCCCGTCTTGGTTCTTTGAATAGTAGCACATGAGTGGTACCTTAGCACTCAGTGTGTGACACTGAATTGCTTCTCTTTCGCTCTTTTCGTTCTCACAGGTTCGCTGCTGGGAAGTTCAGGACAATGGGCAGACCATTCCAAAAGCCCAGCAAATGCACACTGGCCCCGTGCTTGACATCTGCTGGAGTGATGTATGCCTCCTTCCATTTCTAATGTTCTTTTCTACCTTAAGTACTGTGTGATTTGGAATACTCAGTAACCTGAATGCAAACGCAGATTAAGCGCCCCTTTATCTGAAATGCTTAAGACCAGAAGTGTTTTGGATTTCAAAATTTTCAGATTTGGGAATATTTTCCATAGACTTTACTGGTTGAGTGTGTCTAACTGGTTGAATGGTGAGTGATGCTGAAAAGTTTGGAATATTGCTGGGTGTGGTGGCCCACACCTGCAATCCCAGCACTCGTGAGGCTGAGGCGGGAGGATTGCTGTGAGTTGAAGGCCAGCCTGTTAACCACATAACAAAACCTATCTCAAAAAACAGCAAAAAAAGTAGCTTGAAACAGTTTTTTTTTGTATTAAGGATTCTTGACCTATATAGAATGTATATATCCACATTATAGGAATTCTAAATTTTTTAATAGTACAGTAGTTTATTGATGTTCTTAATGTTAACTTAAGTAAGATAATCTCTCTGAAAGCTTTTCTTGGGTTAAAAAAAAAATCCATGATTTTATTGACATTTTAGCAAAGGATTATACAACTTCTTGAAGCCCCTGTCCTTAAATACACCACGAGCTTTGTTGTTTTTAATTTATATTTATAATTTTATTTGGTGATACTGGTGATGACCTTCAGATGTTGTCCCTAAGCTTTATCTCTCAACACTGTTTTTGTTTTTTGTTTTGATGCAGAGTCTTGCTAAGTAGCCCAGACTGGTTTCAAACTTGTAACCTCTCCCCCTCAGCCTCCTAGTGTGCTGGAATTACAGGCATGAGCCACTATAACCAGATAGAGCTTCGTTTTAAAATTGGAAATTTTACTATCAGAAAACCCCAGAGGGAACAAAACAAATACATTTCTCTTAGCATCATATCTTGGTACTTGAGTGCTTTGAGACTTCTCTATCAGTGCTTGATTTTGATGTGAAAATTTTGTCCTGACAATTGTCATTTGATTGGTACTTGAAGTACAGGCTAAGTCTTCTTGGTGTGGACGGCTGCATGACTTGCTACCCTTTCCAGCCAAAAGAATGTGTTCGTTACCTATCACTTGGCATCTCCTGGAACCAACTAACAAAGAGTACTACTATATTAGACATTTGAAATTTTAAAAAATTTCTCCTCCCTAAATCCTGAACATGTAAGCTTTCCCTCCTGTTCCTGCTTTTTTTTGTTGTTTTTTTTTTGTCTGTTTTGTTTTTCCCCCCTGGTTGAGAAGAGTTTGGTAATAAAGTAACCATTGATAGAGAGATCAGAGGGTACCTGGGTGAGGCACCTGTGGCAGCTGCCAGCTCACAGCAGAGCATGGGAGAGAGTATCCACACCTCTCCTCCCATCACTGCTGCCTCATGGCTGAGCCTAACAGAAGTAAGAAACAGATGTACCACAGTGCTAAGCTTCGAGGCCCCTTGCAAGGCTTTGTACCATTCTTTATTCAGTTGGATATTAGTAGGTTATATTTTTAGCTAGATTTTATTTATGAGGTGTTTATTAGGCATACAGTCAAATTGAACCTTTTTAGTGTATAGTTCTGTGTTTTGAGGAACACACACTCACATTCAAGATGTGGTACAGATCCATCAGCCCCAAATTCTCTCCTGCCCTTTTGTAGTCAAATCCTCCTCAACTCCCAGTGCCTGGAAATCACTCATCTGTTTTCTGTGAGTTTTGCTTTACAAGAATGTCTTAAAGATGGGATCCTATGTAGGACAGAAGCTTTTGGGACTAGCTTCTTTGACTCAGCATAATGGATCAAAGATCGTTCTGGTTTGGGGGGTGTATCAGTAGTTTGTCCTTGTGGCTAAGCAGTACCGTGATAGGAGGCATCACGGTTTGCTCAACCTTCTATTAGTTGAATTGCTGTGTTGCCAAGGATTTGTGACATTGTCCCTGTAAATTCATTAATGGAGGGAGAAGCAGATGTAAACTCTTCTTGGAGGTGAAGAACTGATAGCTTCAAATATTTTTATAGGGGTGGGGGTAGGGAATTTTTCTGCTCTGAAACCAGAATTGAAATAAGTAAACCAGGGTTTAGTAAACTATGGCCATGAGGCAAATCAGGCCCATGGGCTATTTACCTACCAAATAGAATTTGTTGGGGTTTTTTTTCTCAGTACCAGGAATGGAACTTAGGATCTTTGCCTTATGAGGTGGGTGCAGCACCACTGAGCTACATCCCCGGCCCCTACCAAATAGTTTTATTGGAATGAGACCACACACCTTAACCACAGGACATGTATGGGCGCTTTCAAGGTAACAGTGCCAGGATCACTTACTCTATGAGTTCTACATGTGGCTGTTTTTAAAACCAATACATAGACCACTGCCGGTCCCTGTCCCTCGCCTCCCGCGGTCCTGGGCAGCCTCCTCGGGCTGTGCCAGGGGCCCACCCGCACTGCACGTGAGCCAGAGCCTGGTGAGCTTGTGAGAGGATCTGCTGCCACCGCCCATTTGCTGCAGAGCCGGAGGAGGAGGAGGGGAGAGGCCTGGAGGACACCAACGTGAACAAGTTGAAATCGTCACAGAAGGATAAAGTTCAACAGTTTATGATCTTCACACAATCTAGTGAAATAACTGCAGTAAGTTGTCTTTCTCAAAATGACTGGAAGTTAGATGTTGCAACAGATTTTTTCCAAAATCTTGAACTTTGTATACAAGAGAGTGTAAAGGATCATTGGACAGGAAGAAGTTAGAACAACTATACAATAGATACAAAGATCCTTGAGATGAACATAAAGTTGGAGTAGATGGTATACAGCAATTCTGTGATGACCTGGCACTCGGTCCAGCCAGCATTCGTGTTTTGATCATTGCATGGGAGTGCAGAGCAGCGGCACAGTGAGTTCTCCACACAGGAGTTCATGGACGGCATGACAGAATTAGGACCTAGAAGTGGCCATTGCCTACTGGAATTTAGTGCTTAACGGAAGATTTAAATTCTTAGACTTACTGAATAAATTTCTGTTGGAACATCATAAATGATCGATACCAAGATATTTGGAGTCTTCTTTAGACTTCAGTGCAGTGATTCCAGATGACGTGTCTAATTGTGATGGAGGAGCACGGCCTGTTCTCACTGATGACTTTGTGGAATTGCACGCCTACAAATTGCTGGGGCAAAAAGTACCACAGTGTAGCACTAAAAGAACTTTCTAGAATGTACATAGTCTGTACAATAAATAGACTGGAAATTGCACAGTCAGATTCTGCTGGCTGGACTGAACTGAAGATCCATCCTCACTATTGGGACTGAGGGTTGAGACAAAACCCAAAGGACACATTTTGGACCATATCATATTTCATTCTTCCAATGATGGTTTGAGCTTTGTCTTCTACTCTGGGCTGCTCTAAACATTTATAATTCCAACGTTGTGGATTTCATTTTTGGGGGGCATGGCACTTAGGACCTTGGGCTTGCAGGGCAGGTGGTGGTACCAGTGAGCTAAATCCCTGCCCCCACTGTGGATTTCATCCTAATATCTATGAACCATACTAGTTTATTCTCCCATAAATCTTAGAAGCTTTATGGTGATTATTTTGAGGTTTCCATTCTTAACATAGGGCACAATGCTGTCTTTGTCAGAAAACAGTTTTGTATAAACATAATGAACATCACAATTTATTTATTTATTTTTTTCCCCATTAACTTTATTGGTACATTTTAGGTATAAAATACAGTTACATTCATCATTGGGATCTTGTACC